AACACTAAGAGAAATTGCATCAATATTCTCCCTTTCCCCACACAAGAACTCAAAAGCAGTGCTGAGAATGTCTCCACAAGACCTGAAGGTCAGTAAATAAAAACAATACCACAAGATTCATTTTCAACATGAACTATGGACCTCAAAAAATTATAGCATGCATATTTTACACTTACACAACCCATGAAAATAAAACAACGCTTCAAAATTAATTGAAGTTGAGACTATTAATCAGTAAATTAGGAGTAAAAAAAAAAAAGTTATAGGGATGCTGTAATTTAGCCAAACCCAAAAGTTAAAACACACAGAAATGTAGTCACTGTTACAGTTAAAGAGATCCACAAGTATAAGGACATAGAAATGCAATTACAATACCCACACAGAGAAAAAGGTTGTAATGATGCCATGCAAATCCATACAATTATGATTAAAGCAAATGAAATGGCTTGAAGTATCTTTTATCCACAGCTATAAAAACACTGGGGATTTTTCCTCCTTTACATTTTGGTTCTTTCATGTTGTAACAGCTCTGCCATCCATACCTCCACTGTTTACCTCCCAACAATATCAGACTGCTGGAAGAGTGGACAGTCGAGCACAAATGAAAACAGATCTGGATGTATCCCTGTAACTTTGTGGCTCTTCAGGACCAGGAAAAATACCTATATGACATCACCTTTGCCTCTTACAAACTTACATCTTATGGGCTTCATGTAGAACCAATATAGGTTCAAGAATTAATAGTTAAACTTAAGTCATTTTATTTTCCTTACTCTCTGTCAGCTTGCAGTCTCTTGGACAAATTTCCAGAAAAGGAAAGGAAAGATCACATTTAAAAATTATACCATTTCAAATTCTAAATACACAAGTCAAGAACTAAAAAAATTTAAAAACTGGAGTTCTCCTCTGAGACCTTGAAATTTAAAGCATGCATACAGGGCAGAGACCTATCACACTAGACATTTACTTCATGTGTGTGAAAGATTTGAGGTTACATACATATATGATGGATCTTTGCTTCAAAACATTCACAGAGACACTAACAGCTCAAAAAAAGTATGCTCATCAAGTATCCCTCATTTTCCCATTCATAATAAAGTGTCAAAAATCAGTGTTTTGAGTGAGACAATACACATTCAAATCAATGTACATAAGTATTTACAGAAAAATCAATAATTACATAGCTAATAAAATGAAGATGGCTCATTTGTAAAGTTTACTGAATTAATTTTTTTTCTCCTTGCCATAGTTTGGCAAGGAGAAAAAAATGACTTAAGGCATGATGCTGAAAGAGCTTGAGGTTAAAAAAAGAGTCAAGTGCTCAAGAATCTGAAAATGTAAAAATTAAAGGCTTCCTGTACAATCTTAATTTCTCTCTTCTGTGCTTATTTTAACCATATAAATCATCTACTATATTTTCCACAGGATCTCTACCTTCTCCAGTAAAATATGAACAGTCCACGTAAGTGAGCAGCTGTTTAATTTTTTGGTTTACACTCATTATTCCGTGTGTAGCCTGATGACTTAGTACATTATCATCTAAACTCTGCTCTGTCTGAAGACAGAATTATAAAAATTTCTCCATGGACCTTTCTATCATACTCACTGTAGTATGGAGTGCTTCACATTTTATGTTCACAGCACTTCTTTGAATTGGGGTGGTTGTGTCTCTATAGATGGAGCTGAAGCACAGAGAAATTAAAGACAAAAGAAACTGCTAATGTCCAGTGGCAACTGTGAACATCTAATCTGACACACTTAGGACTCCATCTTTTAGAATATTTTAAACATAAGTACTGTATAATGCTACATACATTTCCCATTAACTTCAGCTGAAGTTGCTCATCTCAGTTTAGCCTCCTTGCCTCTAGCCTCATTACCCAACTCTAATATCTTTCCTCATACCCATCACTGCCCAGCTTCTCATGTAATATGTCTTTCCCCTTCTTGAAATGGAATGAAGAGTCAATGGAAGTCTCACACCTCCGTGGTTGCTCTTTAGGCACTTTGTCCAGGCAGTTCCTTCCTAAGACACATCCCAGCTCTTTTCCCCTCTGCCCACTAGTTTTAGTCTGGGTGTCTTTATTCAGCCAGGAGTATAGGTTGTAGCCATGTTGGTCTAAGGACATAAGCAGACAAGGTTCTTTAGGTGAATCTGATATCTTTTATTAGACCAACTTAAACCTCTTTTTTCAACTATTTTTTTTCAAACAAAAACAGTTTTTACAACTATTTAAGTTGGTCTAATTAAAGACCACCCAAAGAACCTTGTCTGCCTTTATTCAGCCGGTTCTTTTTTATTATCCATTTCTTTTGCTAGCTCCCAGTCCTCTTCCCTCCTGACTTATCCTGGTATGCGCTTTCCCCCTCTGCATTTAAACACTGTCCCCATCTCCTTGTTATGTAGATGCCCTGAGAACAGATGAGGGACAGTTCTTCTCAGTTCCTGTGACCTGTTCTACCCTGGCCCAAAGCAGGTAGGAGCAGTCATTAGAATAAAAATCTCTCCCTGTCCTGAAGTGCTGTGCTGAAGCATGCAATCACTTGGCAGAAATAAATTATATACAAATGAGCAGGTCACATGTAAGATTTAGGAGTGGCTGGAGCTTACTTAAGTGAAGACAATCTTAGAAGACTTCAGCAGCTGAAGTCTAAGCATGCATGAACTGCAGTTTGTCAAAGGCTTGTAACTTGATTGTGTATTTTCATGGGGATAGCAAAAAAAGGCATATCCCTTGACCAAAGCGGCCTCTCTCTTCCCAAATTCTGAGTTCCAGCTTTAAATCATGGGAGGTACTTAAAAGCAAGAAAAAAAAAAATCCCTTCCCCATGTTCTCTGAAGCAGCAGAACCATCTTGGCAGACGTTTTCCTGAGTTTCAGCCCGAGGCAGACACTCATCATGGAAAATTTCAGCTTGAACAGATAAAATCTGGCATAGTTATAAGTAACTGAAAACAGATGACTTCGAACGGGAAATACTGGACAATTTTAATAGGGGGCACTCAACCCCACCTGTAAGTGGAACTCCAAACCTGACTAAAAAAAAAGACAGACAACCAGATTTTTCATACAAAATTTTTGAAATCATGAACGTGCTTGAAAACAAGGTACTGTTAAACCAAAAAAAAAAAACCCAGTCTTTTACAAAAAACATATTAGGCAGAAGGCAGGGCAGGGTGGCACCTTAGTCAGTTTTTAAGACCTGGCTGCCTTTAGAAAAAACACAAATTCAACCCACAACAAAATCTGCGCTTCCTTACATATACCCAAGGAAAATATTTATTACACTGTAACCAGAACTACTCTACACACAAAATCTTCTACCACCATTAACAAATATGCCAGTGGCATTTATGATTCAACTACATTCATCTTGTCAAGAAGGAAAAGCTTTTGTACTAGCTTTACTTTTCAAGATATTCTGTTACTGAATCATGATCTTATTAGCTCGTTTTGGTGTTTGTTTACCTAAAACACAATTCTTTCATAGTTTCACAGTAGGTAGGGTCGGAAGGGACCTAAGCAGATCATAAAGTCTGATCCCCTGCCATGGGCAGGAAAGGATGCTGGGGTCAAACGACCCCAGCTAGGTGACTGTCTAGCCTCCTTTTGAAGACTCCCAGAGTAGGAGCAAGCACCACTTCCCTTAGAAGTTGGTTCCAGATCCTAGCCGCCCTGACTGTGAAGTAGTGCCTCCTGATATCTAGCCTGAATCTACTCTCAGTCAACTTATGGCCATTGTTCCTTGTTACTCATGGTAGCGCTCGGGGGAACAGGGACTCTCCCACTGCCTACTGGTCTCCCTTGGCAAGTTTATAGGCAGCCACTAGATCCCCTCTCAGCCTTCTCTTGTGGAGGCTGAACAGGTTCAGGTCCCACAGCCTCCCCTTGTAGGCCCTGCCTTCCTGCCCCCTGATCATGCGAGTAGCCCTCCTCTGGATCCTCTCAATGCTATCCACATTCCTCTTGAAGTGCGGCACCCAGAACTGGATGCAGTACTCCAGCTGCAGCCTGACCAATGTCACACAGAGGGGGAGGATCACCTCGTGGACCTGCTCATGATGCATCTATGGATGCATGACAAGGTGCGGTTAAGCCTTCCTGACTGCATCCCCACATTGGCAGCCCATGTTCATCTTGGAATCTGTAGTGACTCCAAGATCCTTTTCTGCCTCTGCACTGATGAGAAGGGAGTTCCCCAGCCTGTAGGTATGCTGCTGGTTCTTCCTCACCAGGTGCATCACCTTGCACTTGTCAGTATTGAAACCCATCCTGTTCTCATTCGCCCACCCCTGTAACCTGTCCAGATCTAGTTGTAGCCTGTCCCTCTCTTCTAGCACGCTCACTTCTAGTACTTAATTAAAATAAAGATAATTGAAATAAAATAAAATAAATTAAAATTAAAAAGCCTTTGTCTGCTTACATTTTTATAATCTTTGAATTCTTCTTTGCCTGAACAAGGTTGGGCCCAAAAGCTTGCAAAGAAAGAATTTTTTTTGCTCTTTAGTTTGTCTAATAAAATATCTCAACCTTTTTTGTATCAGAACCCATTTTTAAACATCGATTGCCAGTCCTGACCCAATGCCCCTCACTCTTGACCCACTGCCTGCCATCTGACGCCGCGAGGTAACCATGCTAATAAAAGATACTGCCTTTACCCCAAGAGTTTTGTCTGCCTAATTAAAAGAAGATAAACTGATTAACCAAATTTGCATGTCATACTTTTATACAGTGTTCTGGAACCAGGTGCCCAAAAGCATATTGCAGGGGCACACAAAATTTTTAGCAATATGGTCTGACACCAAATCAGCCAGGCCTAACTGGATTTACCTGAGAAAACTGGCAATGGTATAGAGGACTGTCAAAGATGTCAGCAGGATTATGGGAGTAATTTCAAACTACATCCTTAGATAATTTTCCAAGTTTCATTAAGCAACACAAAATCCTTAAAGTTTCTAACATCACAAGCTACTTAAAAATTCAGAGCTAGAAACAATACCTCCATGGTGATGTGACAAGCTTCCTCCATTGGCAAGAATTTCCTCTCTAGCAGCTGTCTAAATTGTGGAAGATTAAAACATTCAGTAAACACAATATAGTATAGTAGAATAGAATAAAGTTATAATAAAAATACTTTCATTAACATAGGGCATTGATACTAATATAGAACATCGCCATGGCTAGAGCAGTCACCTCAAGTGGAAGAAACTGAGGTTCAAGACTCTACTTCAGTGTATAATTATTCATACAGTGAGACAGTTTCAACAGAAAAGAGTATTTTCTGCATTGTTTGGTTTCACCCTGATGGAGAATGGGAAACTTTTAAAAAATACTGAAAATGTTTACAGGACAGAAAAACTGTTTCTTGTCTACCTTTCATTATGGATATTTGGGCACCTTTCTGAACATTCAGTGAGCAATAATCAAGTTTCCCAAAAATGGGAATGGAGTTACTCTTGACAGTTCTTCATTTCTTTAGGAAGTTACACACACTAACTCAAGTAACCTTTTTAGTTATTATGCCTGGCCTCATTTGAGCAGCATACACCTTTTGCCAAGTGGTTTAAGGCTTATCTATAAGTGGATTTTTCAAAACAACATCAGAAATTATTTCTACATAAGCCCCATGTAGCTTACTATATATACCTGATCCAAGATGACCCTGAATTTAAGGCTGCCCCACAATAATTAGACTCTATACATAGAAAATTTAAATTTATTATAATTTTACAGTTGTAGAAATTAATTATTGGAGGGTCATCTTCAATTTCTCCCAGCCTGGCCAGCAGCAGTGACATGACAGCTCCAGCCAGACCTTAGAGCTGGGCTTGCCACACTGCCACCACTTCTAGGGACTAAAGTAGGCACATTCTATGGTCCCAAGGTTAGACCAAGGATAGAGTCTCTTGGAGCAAGAGTAAGCAGCAAGGGTGGGAGAGGTGGGTGCGAGAGGGGGAGGGGGCACACTGCAGCTGCAAACCTAAGTCAGGGCCAGAACCAGAACAGCTTCCTATCCCCCCATTTAACGTGACCTCATCTTAGATGAGTAAATACATTACTTGAGAACAAGAGAGTGTCTTTTCAAGTGTGTCCACATGGGGGATTAAAGAGAAATAGCTATTTTAGAATCAGTGTCTTTAATACCATATATTCTCACATACGACACATACTTTTTCCCTTAAAATCAGCCTCCATGTATTAAGCATGGAAGCTCAGTTTCTGCCTGGCATAGAAGCATGCCGCTTGGATTCCTGCTCCACAGTACAGCAGCTGAACAAGTTAACTGACTTAATGACTCATTGTTCACTCCACAGGTGTTAACAATCCTTTCCTTTTTAATGATCTGTATGTTCCACTAATCCACCTAACCCTTTTAAGGGCAATTTTGCTGTTTGATAGGTCTTATCCCTTCTATTTTATAGCCTAACTCTGTTCAAAATCATAGATCCACCCACAGAGACCAGTCTTCAGCAGCAGCTAGGACTTGACCTTTAGTTAAGAAAAAGAGTGAGGATGAGTGCGCTGAAGATTAGGTTCTGTTCTTGCTCTATGCAGCCATAACTCTGGAAGAAATATTTTCTTCATTCTGCCTTTCAAAATCAAGGTGACCATTACATTCGGGGGCATGTTGTATGTGACAAAATATAACATATTGCAAAATGGGTATTTTGGTAAAGTTCTAAGCATGAACAAGCTTGTAGAGTTCTTGTGTTCGCTACTCAGAATACTGTTACTAGAGTCAACATATGTTATGAATAAAAGGCACTAAGATAACAAGCTATATCCATATATCCATTACCTCAACTTGTTCATAGACATGAAGAGGCTCACTGATTCCTCTGTAGTTAAAGGCAAAATAGAAATAGACGCATGCTCCTGCATCATAAGTTTGTGTCACCCTGTTAAAAAAAGAAGTGTGTTAGTAGCTGTAAAGTAAAAGGTTGTATCAAATAAGCAGCCAGTAGTTCACAATACATAAATTTACAGTTACTCAGGATCTCATTAGTTCCCACATTCATTACTGAACCATCTTATTGGCTGGAGATTTTTACATTTTTATTACATAAAAGACACTGGATGACCTGTAACTACTACCGACAAATGGCTGACGGAAGAGACAAATGGGAAGAAAGGTTTCCACAGTGCAGTTTTTTAACCACTGTTCCTAATCACACATTCAATAATCCTGTTAAATGCCATGCCACAATATTTTCTATTGAGGGGAAAAAATAAAGACTTTAAAGCAGCAGTTCTCCATCTTTTTAGACTGAAGACACTCTTCCTAACTTCTGTCAATTGAGTAGCGCTCCATTTCAAAAACAAATTTAGTTATTACAGTGCTTACCTTCTGGCAGAGGGGCTGGGAAGTGGGTGTGAGGGAGCAACCAGGTAGGGATAAGCCTAAGCCTGCACTTATCTATCTCCTCACAACTCATGGAACCCTTCAAAGAGTCTTGTGGCACCCCAGCTGAGAATCACTGCTTTAAAGATTAATTCCAGCATTTTCACAATACTTGCAGCAGTTCTTAGATAACAAAAGAAGGGTTCTTTAGGTAATGACTGGTGATAGCATGTACTTAATATATAAATTTCAAAAATAGCATCCACAAATTTTGCAAACCTAACAGAACATGACAAAACCGTAAGAACCCTAAAAACACGCTAACGACAGGCATCCAGCTTAAAGTCATCTTTAAAAAGAATGATTAAGTGTAGTATGCAAATATACAACTGTTTCAGATGGGACTTAACAGCTTTTCATAACCTGTTTACTTTGTGATTAGAAGTGTGCTACTACTAACCCAAAATTTCTATCCAGAACACATGAACTTTCTTCTCTTCACAAAGAGATGTTAGCCCCTAAAACATTTAACTGCATTTTAGTTTCTTTTTTTTTTTATTACAGGCAAATATCAGATAGCAAGTAAAAGTGAATCTGGTTACCTTAGTATTTAAACAGAAAATAGCACACTGCTAGACAGAAAAAGGATGCATTAATAAGACCCAGAATGGATGCTCTCTACAAATAAAACCAAAGATATCAGTGAAGTGTCACAGTCTTTTTAATTAGTCAAGAAAAAAAAAAAAGGCAGAGATGTAGTTTACGCTGTGCACCCTTCACTCATGGTATTCAACCACTGTATACTTTAGAGATACATTTTGACAAGTGTCCTAAGGATCAGAGACCTCTTTAATGCAAAGCAAAGGATTATTAACTAAGCCAGGTACATCAAACGCATCGGGCCCAGCTGTCTTGGATGAAAAGTGGGGGGCCAGATTGGGCCTACACATAAGCCCCATGCACTAGATCAGAGCACAGGTTTGGTCCAATGCAGGAGCTGGGAGTGCCCCAAAACAGCTGTGTGCTGGGAGCCACCTGGAGCACAGGGCCAGTCTGGCACATGTCACAAGCGGCCTGTGGGTCCAGTTTAAGACTCACCGGTGTCATAGCAAGCTAGATGATATGGCTCCAAATGCCAGATCTGACATCCCTAAACTAAGCAAATGCTTAAGTTGCATATAATTTCGGTAACTTACACTAAAGCAAGACAAACACAGAATACCTCAAAAACCACAACGTGTAACAAAAAGTCTAGTCCAAAACAAGCATCTTACTAATCAAGCTATAATTGTAGACATGTTATATTGGACAAACGGTTGTGGCCTCAGCCCTAACGAGGACAATCTAAACTGTATTTTCCAAAGTAATGGTAGGGAACGAACATTCTCCAAGTCATACAAAGATGTAACTAAATTACTCTGATAGATTACTGTTGAGAAACTGTGAAAGAAGCATATTAATAAGAGGTATGAATGAAAAGACACTGAACAGTATACGAGTAGAGAAAGACTATTCATAAAGAATAGCATTGAAGAAGGTAAATGTAGTAACAAAAGCAGACTGAAGGAATGCTTGATTAGATTGAGTAGAGAGAAATAGTTAGCAGTGTTAGATTGGGTACAAGTGAGAATTGAATTATGCACAGTGTTGGAGCCTCCTTTAGGTTCCACATCACCTTGAATATTAAGTATTAAACAAGTAGTCAAAAACTGAATAAGAGTGCTGACAAGAGCTTAACAGCAGTGGAACCCTGGAAGATTTGAGTAGAACAAAAAATAAGGTTTAAGAATTTCTAAGGCTGTTTGTAGACAACACTTTTTAGCAGGTTTAAAGCCAGTTAAATGCCTTTTGCACTGCTTTAATGGCATAGCTGTTTGTACATTCGACAGCATATTTCACGTTAATTCCAGCTGCTGTAGCATATTCGGTGGCGTAATGCACCTTAAATGACTTTAGGACACAGCAAGTGACTTTGGGGCACTACACAGTAAAACACCTCCAAGAAGTTTTAGTTTCCTACCCTACAGTTGTGGAGGGAAGCACCGGGCTCTGTGCAGCTCAGTAACTGTACTGGCAGTCCGTGCAGGCAACCCAGCAGCAGCCCATGCAGGCAGGCTCCACAGAAGGAGAAATAAAAAGGCAGTGAGCCTGATATATATATTTATTTTCCCTCCTGGAGCCTGCCTGCCTGAGCTGCGTGGAGGCCTGGTGCTTCCCTCTGCAGCTGCGGTGCCCCCCTGGGACTGCCAGAGCTGGGTGCCTGCAGGCAGGTGCTGCCTGGGGAGAGATGGTGGCCCACTGCTGCCATGGAAGGAAGCACCAGCCCTCCCCTGTAGCTCAGGGACTCTTCTGCCAACCAGCTGTTCACTTTCCCTTCCCTGCCACTGGAGAGGCAAGTAAGGATTGGGCTCCAACATGGGTGTACACAATATGGGGGTTTACTTCACCCTAAATTGAAGCGGCATTTAAAAAAAACCACCACTTCAGTTTAGGGAGAATTAACCCCCCCCCCCGTGTCATCTATAAATGCCTTAATATACTGAATAGGAACAAAACTGTATGTCTGGTGTTGGTTAGTACAGCACCAGATACACAGGGGTTTTTACCACTGAGAACAGGTTAAAATTATTTAACATGTTGCCAGAATATGTAATACAATCATTGATTTTTATTACTTTTTACAAGTGAGATGCACTAAATTAATAAGAATGCATCAGTGATCAGAAACAGTGGAAAGCACAGGGGTAATGCAAATTCTCCTTTTTCTACATCGGTGCAGGCAATTATTTTGGCTGGAGGTCTGCTTACTGAGTACTGGCAAGCTGTCAAGGGCTGCACGGGTAGCCCCACCCTTGACATGTGCCCCACCCCTTGGTTGCCATCTTGTGACCAGAAGTCCCATCCCCTAACCTCTAAATTTCGCCACCAGAAGTACCTCCCTTTGCTCCTGGGAGTACTCCTTTCAGCAAGGGGTTTTGCCATCTTGGAACCAGAAAAAAATACCAAATTATATTCTAAAAATCAAACATCTACAACATTCATTAATTTGATTTCAAAAATATTTTTATCCTGATTTACATGAGTTTGTGTAGTGTATATAGGGGTGATTCCACAATAGCTTAAAATGAAGAATTAGTCTTGTATATTGTGTGTGGGGGGGTGGAGGGCATGGGGAGGTTGGTATAGGTTTATCGGGGGGCTGTTGGTGTGTGGGTGTGTGTGGGGGGCAGAAGGAGCATGTGGGTATGTGCGTGTGGATGTATGGGGTATGAGGAAGAAGGTGGCTGGAGTGTGCAAGGGGGTGCGGGTACGCATATGGTGTGGTGTGCGTGTGGGACTCGCCCTATGTGCACACGCGCACACACACACACACACACACACACACACACACACACACACACACACACAGCCCCTCCCTCATTGCTCTGTCTCTCTCCCCCTCCCTCACTGCACAGGTGCACGCATTCACACACCTCACGCTCCTGGCCCCAGGGAACGAGCGCAGGTCCCATGCTCCCGCAGTCTGACACTGCAGCCAGGAACCACATGATGCTGGAGCACCTGGCAATGGGCAGGGAAGTGGTGAAAGTGGCTGCAGGCAGGGGAGAGTGGCAGCGAGCTGGCTCGCAAAGTGCAGCGACAGCTGGGTAGGAGCGTAGGGCTTCCGCCAGTGGACTGGGGCCAGTGCCAGTGTGGCCCAGAGTGGGGTGGCAGGACTGCGGGGCCCGGGCTGGCAGGGGCTCTATGGAGCTAAACTGGCTTCCTCCTTTCCCTGCTGGTGCAGCCTAGCCCAGCTCCATGGAGCCCCTGCCAGTCTGGACTCCGTGCTCCTGCCACCCTGCTCTGGGCCCCACCAGTGCAAGTCCCATCCCCTCCTATCCAGTTGTTGCTGCGCTTTGTGTGCCAGCTCGCTGCCACTCCCCCCCACCCATGGCCGCTTTCACCACTTCCCTGCCCACTACTGGCCGCTCTGGCACCACATGGTTCCTGGCTGCATGGCTGTGACTGCAGGACTCAGCAGAAGCCAGCCCAGCCCCGAGGACTGGGGTAATTGCCCGCAGTCCTCACCTGCCTCCCTCCCACTCTTATTTGAGTTTCCCTCTCTGGCAGAGGGAAGCAGGAATAGCCCCAGGGTCCCAGTCTTCTGGCTGGGGCGGGGGGGAGGTAAGGGGGCTGGAGGGGCCTTGCTGCTGGGTCCTACTGCCCCTGGCTTCTGTCATCTTTGACAGGCAGCCAGGAGCAGATAAATATTAAATTTTCTAAACTATTGGGGGGCCCCATGGGCCAGACAGAATGGCCTGGCGGGCCAGATTTGGCCTTCAGGCCATATTTTGCCCATCCCTGTTCTACATGGTTTCATTTTCTTAGAAAATTCCAGGTTCAGCAGTGCTGGGCTTTGGGGTCAGCATGGCTTGAAATTCTGCTATTTGTGCTGGGGCCCAGCCCGATTTACTATATTGTAAATAATGGGCCTTTTGGCTTTGGACTACTGTTAAGAATAGAACATGCCACATGCAAGTACGTACAAATGTACTGCTTAAATGTTTATTTATGGAGTCTTGTGCTAAAACTTGTAGCAGTTTCAAAGAGGTAAACTTCATCAAATCTGGATGAATTAAGTCTATTGGTATCTGAAGTAATTTCTTTATATGCAAGTTACTAAAGGTACATTCATTTCTAGGTCAGTGTTTCAAATTTGCTTCTTACTTCTATGTGCTCAGGGAGAACAGGGTCTGACAGTAAGGGAGTGGGGCTACAGGGGAAAGAATCTGGGGGGGGGGGGGCAGAAGGCAAGGGAGCTACCTAACCCTCCAGATTTAATTTTCCATGCTGTAGTGGTGGGAAGGGACAAATTCAAGGCAAACTTCCAATAATTAGATCTATACCTAGAAAATTATAAACACATTTATAATTTTTCCATATATATAGAATCTAATTGGAAGAGGGCCAACGTAGTCCCAATCTTTAAGAAGGAGAGGAAGGAGGATATGAAGAACTATAGACCAGCGAGCTTTACCTCCATTCCAGGGAAAATAATAGAAAAAATTATCAAGGAACACATCTGTGGGAGCCCTCTGGCTAATGTGACACGGAGGGGTAACCAACATGGGTTTATAGCAGGCAGGTCCTGCCTGACTATCCTAATTTCTTTTTACAACAAGGCCACCAAATGTTTAGATGCAGGAGTCGAGGTGGATGTTATCCATCTGGACTTCAAGAAGGCCTTTGACACGGTATCCCATACCATCCTTATTAATAAGCTGAGGAGATTTGCCTTAGATGATTATACAGTACAATGTGTAGCAAACTGGCTCAGGGGTCGCACTCAGAAGGTGCTGGTGGATGGGTCAGTGTCAACCTGGAAAGATGTGTGCAGTGGAGTCCCTCAGGGCTCAGTTCTGGGGCCAGTGCTGTTCAACATCTTCATCAGTGATCTGGACAAGGGGGTGGGAAGCACCCTGTCCAAATTCACGGACAACACACAAATACGGGGTAAACCCAACACCCTGGAGAGAAGGAACCATATCCAGGCTGACCTTGACAGGCTGGGGAAGTGGGCATAGAGCAACAGGATGCAATTCAATGAAGACAAGTGCAAGGTGCTGCATCTAGGGAGAAAAAACTGCCATCATACCTATAAGGCTGGGAGGCAAACTTCTCAGCACCACTGAGGCAGAAAGAGATCTTGGAGTCACTGTTGACTCCAGGATGAATATGAGTCGTCAATGTGATGAAGCAGTCGGCAGAGGCAACTGCACCTTGTCGTGCATCCGTAGGTGCTTCACAAACAGGTCCAGAGAGGCGATTCTCCCTCTCTATGTGGCACTGGTCAGGCCGCAGCTGGAGTACTGTGTCCAGTTTTGGACACTGCAGTTCAAGCAGGATGCGGGTAACCTGGAGAGGGTCCAAAGAAGAGCCACTTATCTGATTGGAGGCCTGCAGGAAAGGCCCTACAAGGAAAGACTAAGGGACCTTAACCATATCAGCCTCTCCAGGAGAAGGTTGAGAGGGAACCTTGTGGCAGCGAACAAATTCATAAGGGGAGAGCAACATGAAGTAGGTGATGATCTGTTTACCAGGGCACCCCAAGGGACAATGGCCATAAGCTATTGGAGAGTAGGTTTAGACTGGACATTAGAAAAAAGGGTTCTTCACAGGGTTGCCAGAATCTGGAATGGGCTTCCAAGGGAGGTGGTGCTTGCCCCATCCTTGGAGGTCTTCAAGAGGAGACTGGACAGGCACCTGGCTGGGATCACGTGATTCCAGGTTTGGTGACCCTTTTCTTGCCTGCCAGGGGCAGGGGATAGGACTAGATGGCCCACTGAGGTCCCTTCTGACCCTAGAATCTATGAATTATTGGGGGAGTCATTTTATATTAGAGTAAAAACAGTATTGTAAAAATTCATCATGAACACATGGTCTACCCTATGCTACATGGAAAATAGGGAATTTTTTCTTAACTTTTTAAATTAGAGCTTTAACTGTGAAGTACGAATGTAATTTGTAGGCCACAAAGGATATATAAATATATATAGATCTACAGCTATCGATCGATCAGTCGATCAATCTACCTAGCTATCCATCCACACACAAAAATAAAAATCAAAATAAAGAAAAGGTCATTTGTAGTATCTGCTTATATACGGCTACACTGAAAGTTTAACAGTTGACTAAACTGTAAGATACCTGTTCCAAGAAAATTCATTTACTAGTTCTCCAATAACAAAAAACTGCTTGCCAAGTGTTCACTTTACGTATACCTATAATTTAGCCAGCTAAATAGGCCAGAAAAATCTTATCCCTATCTCCTCTGTTGAACTTGTAAAGAAAAAGGTAATTTTTTTGGAAAAAGGCATAGAAAGAAGTTGGATAGTTAATTGCTAAAGCTCTTAAAATGTGACAAAAAAATGTTCTCAAAATTGATCTTTTCTTGTTTTCTTGTTAGTCGAAAATATTTCCTTGTACTAAAAGGGATTTATTACCTTGACCCACTTGGAAAGTAGGTGATGTTGGAATCTGCTTATATGACTAGCTGGCATGCAAGATGCAATGAAACAACTCCACATGTTCTGCATCTTTTTAGGATTTCATCAGCAAACAAAAAAACTATGTGGTTTATAAAATGGGGAGACAGAGGTGACCACTGTTGTCAGTAAACATAAAGAATAAAGTTTGTCCTTGATTATTCTCTTTGCCTTTTATCCATTCTTTTGTAATTACTGGTTTTTAAAATCCTGTTAATACTTAAACAGTTACAAGACTTGCATATAATTTTTACTTTTTTAACAAAAGTGATATCAAGTAAAGACGAGAAACAAAGGGTTTAACAATTTTAGTTAATATTTGTCCTTAGAAGTGTTACACAGGTTTAAGAGCCTCTGTTTTCATGATTTCCTAGTTCTAAACGTTAATATTTTAGAAATTTATGTCCTGTGAACAATATAGTTAATTTAAGTTTGTTTTCTGACAGATACTATTTAAGTTCACTTTAAGTTCTAGTACTCTTTTAAAAATGTTCACCTGCTTTTGATTCAGTCTCCATGTCAAATCAATGGTCTGACTTTTAGAGAGGTAAGAAGCTTTAAAAAGAAAAATCAGTCTTTTAATACTTGGCTTCCTGTTAAGTACATGGAAAATAAATATCAGGTCTAATCCAGTACCACTATAGTCTCTTGAAATGATTACTTTTCATTGTCTCTACTGCTGCTCACACTTGCAGTTAGCTAGAAAGGTCCACATCACTAGTGGCTGAACTTTATACCGCCCCATGAGGGTAAGCTAGCAAGTTAACTGTTCTTTTGTACTGAAGAAGTACTTCAGCTGCTTGAAGGGAAAAATTTAAACTATGAAAGCTTGAACTAAAGTGCCTTACCTGCAGGTGGAAAGAGGTGCAAACTGGACGCCTCTTTCTTTGCATTCTCTTACTATTCTTTCCTTTACATTCCTGCAGAGGTCTAGAACCCTGTAACAGAAAATACAATTTCAGAAAACAAAAATAAGAAAGGTCTTCTAATGCAACTAGAAATATTTTAAAGCTAAATTTGTTCCTCTAGTTCAGTGGTCAGCAATGTTTCCCAGTGGTGAGCTGGAATGGCCCAGCTCAGGTCTGAGGTGGCCCAGTGCTAGGATTTAGTCATCATAGCTCCTTCCTCATGCCACTTCTGTGTTGCCCAGCTGCAGCATGGCACAAGAAAACTCCCACCACTTGACTGCTGAAGCCCCAGTACTGTGACCAGTTTTGCCCACAGACCACAGGTTGCTAATCCCTGGCTCTAGTTTAAAGCTTGCAGAAAAACTTGCCAATTCTCTTAGAAGACTAGAATAAAACAACAAACTTTTATAACCAGTTTATATTTTTGTCTTGCTTTAAGAAGTATAATAAAAATAATGCCAATCCAATCTCTATAAGCAGTGTTATTACTCTTTCCAGACATATATTGGACGGCAAATTTAATTTTTATGTTGTACTTTTGAAATTCTATTGCATTTTTTCCAGGGGGCATAAGAGATTTGCAAAAGAGAACGTATAGCTATCTAATAGTGTTTACTTCTGTATGCATTTGGTGAGCATTTTCTTTTGTGCACCATTTTAGCCTCAAGTATTTGGCACAGTAGTTTATAAAATCTAATTCATAGTGACAAGTATAACAAGACTCCAAAGGCATATGTATTCTGCAGTCTGCACCTTTGGTTATGCTGGCAGGAAAAGGTAGAAAAAAATCCTCCTACTGGTAAAGGTGTGCATTAGTTTGCCAGATAGGCTCTGATTAAAATGACTCTCAGATATTTTATATACCATAAAAACAATTTTAAATATTTTATTTTATTTATGACTGAAACAGTTGCATCAAAATGTGAAAAACAAGTCTAAATACTTTTATCAATTTAAGACCAATTCTTCAATTAGTAGTTCTCCCACACAGAACTAATGGAATGCTATTTAACCATATTTTCATTTAAAATGAGAAGTTAGGGGCACTTTTCTGTCCCACGATGCACCAGAGATCCATTTAATTGATTAATTGAATCCGCTCTACATGCAAGCTGAGGCAAACTGTGCTGCACTGCAGAAAATGGCAGCAGTATGCTTTTGAACTAAAGCACCTCCAATGTGCTTTAGTTTGAAAGCGCGCCACCACCATTTTCTCAGTGCTGGCATTCATTTCACCACTTATACAACTGTAAGTGTTGCAGCGCTGGGTGCTTTTCAAAGCATCTGGTGCTGCGGCGCTTGCATGTGTAAAAATTCCCTAGAAGTTTAAATGCAGACCCATGCCAAGGGAAGGGGGAGACACACAAATAAAACAAAACTCTCCCTCCTGTATGATGAAGACCTCACATACTTAAAAAAGAAACATCTGGTTTTCAAAGGAAGTGGTGTGTATAAAGCCAAATGACATTTTACTATGATATTGTCTACCCACAATCTAGTCTGTCATTGGTAGATTCTTTGAGAGAATTTACAGGTTCCATAGGCCAAACTGGAAATACAGAGCTAGCAAGCATTTTTCTGAATACTGATTAGCAAAACATGTTAGATCAGTCTGAGATCAGATGTAAAAAAACCTATTCCTCTGAATCAAATGGGGTAGGGCTAATGATGACCAAATACTATGTTAGACAGAAGGTAGGATAAATTTGCATCTCAGACTAACTAAATCAGAGATGAGCATAAGCTTTCATGAGCACTTCACAAGATGCTGTGAAAGGACAGGGAAGTAGATCAGAAGTTCCCAACCACCAGGCTGAAGGGCTCGCTGCCAGGTCGTGGCACAAGCACACTGCTTGGACCCCTGTCTGTCCGCCTGGGCGAGCAGCTCCTGCCGCTGACAGTCACGTGTAGGGTTATGGTGGGGCAGCCCTGGGAAAAAGGCAACCAGCTCTGTGCACCCTGTCCCACTCCCGTGCTGGTCCGCAGCATAAAAAAGGTTGGGAACCACTGAAGTAGATCAAGTGAATAGTGATTTGAATACAAGAGACAGGGAAAGGGACAGAGGGAGGGAGGTAAGGAGGGTGAGGAGCAATTCTGGGAGAGACAAACAAACAATAAACCCATAGGGACAAGAAGGTTACAAAACCTAAGCCAGTATTGGGATAATAATCCACAGTCCCCTTAGACCATATTTAATACAATCTACTTTAGGTCCTCAACTAGTCAGCTGAGTGAAGCTGCATTCTCGGGTTTAAGATGCAGGGTAAAATCAGACTATTTTTCTTTTCTGTTGTCTGTCTCTTTCAACACATGGATACTAATTTCTTATTTCTGATCGAGCTTTCATAATAAAAATATTTTTGTTATAATACAGTTATAGTCAGTGATAACTATGATCTCAGAGTATCTGACCAGACAGACAAGCCTCTTCCAAGGAAAGGGGGAATTATCTTTTGAGTGAATGAACAGACAAGGGTGTGATTCTTGTAGCTAGCAAAACC